TCGAGGCGTTGATCGTACCCTGCTGAGACGAAGCCATGCACACGTAGACCCCGCTGTCGAGAAGCTCCGCCCCGATCACCTCCAGGGTCCCGTCCGTCACCTGGATGTTGTCCCGACTCGCCGCTTCCACCAGCTGGGGACGTCGGTTGGGGAGGGAGAAAGGGATGGATGAAGGATCTTAGAAGAAGTGGGTTGGAGGATGAGAGATCTTTGAGGATATGGGGTGGATGAAGGATCGTAGAGGAACTGAGTCGGAGGATGAAGGATCTTAGAAGATATGGGGTGAGAGGATGGAGGGTCTTAGAGGAAATGGGTCAGATGATGAAGGATCTTAAAGAACATAGATGGCTGAAAGGATCTTAAAAAAATAGGTTAGAGGAAGGATCTTAGAGGAAGTGGGTCAGGGTATGAAGGATCTTAGAGGAAATGTAAGTCGGGGGAAAATGGATAATGAGGGAAGTATGTGGAAATTAAATGAAAGGGGCACAGAAGCGAGGGTCAGAGGCAAAAAACAAAAAAGAAAAAAAAAAATCAGAGGGAAAGTAAGTAAAAGAGGCATAGAAGCGAGTCGGAAGATCGGGCGAATGATGAAAACGTTTTCGGAAGCGGAAAGGAAAACGTTTGAAGAATGTCGGAGTGAAGAAAGTGATAAAAACAACTCCAAAACGAAGGGAGAGATAACTATCCCACGTAAATATTATCAATTACTTGATACACGCAGAGAACAGTCATTATCCGATCCAAGTGTAAATAATACTTCGAAAATGACTAATGGGAGTGGACCCCGTACCTTAGTAGCATTGGGCCGATACCAGGTCACTTCGGGGGTGACCTCGCCCCTGGCCTCGCACGGGATGCTCACGTTCCCGCCCACCTCCACTCGCGAATCCAGAGGACGAGGCGAGAACTTCAGCCTCTCTGTCACGAGAAAGGAAAAAGGGAAAATCGGTAGAGATGAGATAAAAGTCCCTTGATGAGGATTGGTGAGGAGGGTAATTGGGGTGAAAATAGGGCATGTTCTTTTTACCCTTTATGAGGACGATGAGGAAGACATGTCCTCTTTTATCCCTTAATAAAGGGTATCATTTAGTAATAACTAAGATGTCCTTTTTATTTCCTTATAAGGATGATGAGGAGGACAATTGAGATATAAAAAAAATATTTTCATCTAATCGCAGACCTAAAAAAAAAAAAAAAAAAAAAAAAAAAAATGAAGAGCACTAGTAGTATAGGGCTTACCTATAACACCGAATTTGGCCGGCATCGTGTGGACGGGCGGGTGTCCTTCGGTGGTCACGACGCACACGTACAGACCGGCGTCCTCCAAGCGCGCCCATCGGATCCGCAACACAGACACGCCCTGACTCACGCCCTCGCCCATGCCTGACAGGGACACGCGGTAGTCGTCCACGCTTACCTGAGGGTGGGTGGATAGGGAGGTGTAAGGTTCAGGTTTGTAGGTTTTTTCTGATTAATTCTTTTGTTTTTTTTTTCATTTTTTCTCTGTTTCTTCTTGTTATTCTCTGTTTTGTTTTTGTCTTCTCTTTCTTCGTCTTCTTCAATTTTCTTACTTACTTTCTTATCTCTTTATGTCTTTTTCTCTCTTTCTCTTTCGCTCTCTCTCTCTCTCTCTCTCTCTCTCTCTCTCTCTCTCTCTCTCTCTCTCTCTCTCTCTCTCTCTCTCTCTCTCTCTTCTCACTCACTCACTCACTCACTTTCTCTCTCACTCACTTTCTCTTCTCCCTCCCTCTCCTCTCCTCCCTTCTCTCCTTCCCTCTCCTCCCTCCCTCCTCCCTTCCTTCTCCCTCCCTCCTTTTCTCTCCCTCTCTCCCTCTCACCGGGTGTCCGTCCCGAGTCCAGGAGACGTTCGTGTAAGGCGGCGGCGACGTGTCCATCCGGCATTCGAGTCGACCCGTCTCCTCTTCAAGAACGGAGATCGATGACGTCATCATCTGCACCTCGGGTTTCCCTGCCGAAGGAAGAGGAGGGATTAGTGAGGATGATGACGTCACATCCGGGTTTTCCAGTCGAAGAAAGAGGAGGGATTAATGAGGATGATGACGTCATCATCTGCACCTCGGGTTTCCCTGTCGAAGGAAGAGGAGGGATTAATGAGGATGATGACGTCACATCTGCACCTCGGGTTTCCTGCAGAAGGAAGAGGAGGGATTAATGAGGATGATGACGTCACCTCCGGGTTTTCCAGTCGAAGGAGGAGGGTGAATGAGGAGGAACGAGTCAACGATCGTTTTAAACCATCGTTGACTCCTCATTAATAAGTTAATGTGAGATTTTCAAGGCAAATGACACAGTTTTGTTGTTGTTTTCCTGGAATATTATCTCGAATATACTATATATGATTCGCATTTATGATTCGTAGTGTAACCGATGTGTCATGAGTGTGTTCAAGTAATGTATACTCCTTAAAACGGAATGGACTGGATGAAATAAATGAGGGAACTGATAAACAGCATCCAGCGGAGTTTACAGCTGAAACTTGATTAGTTTTATGGACCTTAAAAGCATGATGAATAATAAACACAAATCCTTTTCTCTCTTCGGCTTCCTTCTCTCCTCGTCCCTCGTGTCGCTCTCGGCCCCTCTCTCTCTTCTCCTCGTTTGTCTCTCTGTCTGCTTGAATTCTGTGTGTGTGTGGGCGTGTGTGTGTGTGTGTGGTGTGTGTGTGTGTGTGTGTGTGTGTGTGTTGTGTTTGTGCCATGGTGTCTGTGGAGTGCATGTGTGTGTGTGTGTGTGTGTGCTTGCTGTGTGTGTGTGTGTGTGCCAGGTGTCTGTGGCGTGCATGTGTGTATGTATGTACGTGTATCCCTCCCTCTCCCCCCTCCCTTCCCCCAGGACCTACTCGTGACGACGAGCTCGAGCGCCCGCGACGCGTTCCCGGCCAGGTTGGACACGATGCAGGTGTAGTTCCCTGCGTGGTCCTCGGTGGCGTCCTCGACCACCAGCGCCGCGCCGTCCACCTGGATGGAGCCCGACGACTGGAGCCTCTGCAGCTGCGGCGCCACCCACGTCACCTCGGGGCGCGGCAACCCCGGCGGCGGCAGGCAGATCACCCGCAGGCGCCCGCCCTTGCCCACCACGTGACTCGCCCGGATGTTCGGTCCGGGTTCCAGCGTGGGCGGCGTCTTGTCGTCCAGGTCTGCCCGGGGCGCGACGAGAATAAAAAAATAATAATATTAACGAATTTTAAAAATATAGCTTTAGGGAGGAGGCGGTTAATCGATGCCAAGGGAGGTGCCGGAAAAAAATTAATTAGATTATATCTGTTATTAGGAGAGCTTATACTAGCTGCACTAATTGGATTAGGGTAATACTGCAGGTCATACATTAAGGTAATGCAAGTAACATTACATCGTAGTATATTAAGGAATAATGAAACAGACAGAGTTTGAGTTAAGTCACTTTTGCTCCAAGAAATACCGACACCGATAGCATTAGTAAATGAATAAATGATTAGATAAGTGAATAAAATGATTAGCCAATCAAGGAACCACCTACAAGCGAGGGTGAGTGTGGCGGCGTACGAGGAAGAGTCGACGCGGTCGGGATGCACGCCCACGCACTTGTACACGCCCTCGTCGCCCATGCTGGCGGCCAGGATCTGCAGGCTGCCGTTGCCCAGCACGAGGCGCCTGCGGGGTTAGTGGGGTTAGTGGCAGGTGGCATCCAGCAGGCGGATGGCCTTGGGACCCAGAGCGCCTCGCATGTATAGTTCGCTGCGGCGTCGACGAGCGGGGGAGGGCGGCGGAGGCGAGGGGGGGGGGGGGCGGAAATTCAAATGCTGCGTTCAATTCTCAAACTCAAAAAATTCTCAAAACCACCGAGATGGCGCATGGTAGAATCCAGCGGAAATTGAGATATCAAAATCTCTTACTTTCATCTTTATCTTTTAACGTATCTACTTAACTAGCTATCTCTACGTTATTCGTTATCCATATAGTATATATATATATATATATATATATATATATATATATATATATATATATATATATATATATACCAAGTTATCTAGCAAAACATCTATCTATGGAACTAGTTATCCATGTATCCATCTATTCAAAAATAACCAAGAGAAATAGGTCTATTTACTTTACACAACACATATTTTTTCACTTCTTCTTCTTCTTCTTCTTTTTGCTGTTGATTTGTCCCATTCTTATTTGGTCACTATAAAATCTGGTTCTTTCTGATACTTCCTTATGACCGGATGCCCTTCCTGACGCCAGCCTCTTAACCGGGACAAGGCACAAGGCACTTCTCTCGTCAGGAAATATTGGTCAGAGGTCCGCTGGCCATTAGAGAATTTCCCATTAAATCGGTCTCTACCATTTACTTTACACAAAACTTTACTTTTCTTTACTTTTTTATCTATTTCATTTTTTTACCTAGTTGTACAGGATCGTTGTCGTTCTATAAACAAAAAACAACCTATCTATTTTCCACGAAACTGTTTTCTTTCTTATTCTATTTTTCTCTCTCCTGGGAATTGTTAGTTAGAGGTCCATTGCCCATCTATCAATTAAAAAGAAAAAAATGTATTTTACAGAAAACTTTTCTTTCTTTCTTTTATTTTATTTTTCTCATCTGAAACTTCTGGCCAGAGGTCCGCTATCCATCTATTTAAGAAAAAAATTATCTATCGATTTCAGTCTCCACTATTTACTTTACAAAAAACTATTCCTTTTTTTTTCTTTCTCTCTTCTTTTTTCGGTCTCCACTATTTACTTTCTCTTTTTTTCTTTCTCTTCTTTTTTTCGGTCTCCACTATTTACTTTACAAAAAACTGTTCCTTTTTTTTTTCTCTTCTTTTTTCCTTTTCACCTGGAACTGTTCGTGAGAGGGCCGCTGTCCTGAAGATACCACTCCGTCAGCGTCCCCTCCTCGTAGCTGCACTTGAGCAGGGCGCCGCGGTCAGGCCCCACCACGAGGGACTCAGGGACGTCCACGATCGAGGGAAGGCGCGGGTCTGTTGGCCGGGGAGAAAGGGATAGGGTGGTTGGGTGGCGTTTCGTTCGCGGAGATGCGTCTGTTTGGCTTTTTGATTTTGTGTGAGCTTAGCTTCTGTTTTTTTTTTTTTTTTTTTTTTCTTGTTTTGCTTCTCTCTCTGTCTCTCTTCTCTTCTCTCTGTCTCTCTCTGTCTCTGTCTCTGTCTCTGTCTCTCTCTCTCTCTCTCTCTCTCTCTCTCTCTCTCTCTCTCTCTCTCTCTCTCTCCTCTCCTCTCTCTCCCTCTCTCTCCCTCTCCTCTCCCTCTTCCCTCTCCCTCCCTCTCCCTCTCCCTCCCCCCCTCCCTCTCCTCCTCCTCCCTCCCTCCTCCCTCCCCCTCCCTTCCCTCCCTCCCTCCCTCCCTCCTTCCCTCCCTTCCCTCCCTCATCCCTAACCCCTCCTACTCTCTCCCTTCTCTTTCTCTCCCCTTTCCCAACCTTTGATCGCGAGACGAGCGGGAAGGCGGAGGTGGTGGCCGTGAGGTGTGAGGGGCGGGCGCCGTCGTGGTGCTGGGGCGTCCCCGGCTTGTAGATGGAGGCCGAGCAGGTGTAGACGCCGTTGTGGACGGTGGGGTCGAAGTGGTCGATCGTGAGGCGCCGCCGGGAGACCGTGACCCCGTCGAGACCCGAGACCGAGTCGCCGTTCCTGGGGCGTCGAGAGGAAAGGGCAAGGGGTAAAAGGAAGGAAAAAGGGAAAAGGGAAGGAGGTAGAAGGATAGGAAGGAGGTAGAAGGATAGGAAGGAGGTAGAAGGAGGTAGAAGGATAGGAAGGAGGTAGAAGGATGGGAAGGAGGTAGAAAAGGATAGAAGGATAGGAAGGAGGTAGAAGGAGGTAGAAGGATAGGAAGGAGGGATAGGAAGGAGGTAGAAGGATAGGAAGGCGAGAGAAGGACAGAGGGCGAAAAGAGGAAGAGGGATAAAGGATAAAGAGAAAACGGTTAGTGGGGCTCTCGGTGAAGCGGCTGGTTAGTTTTTGCTGTCTCTTTGCTTCTCTTTCTCTCTATCTTATGTTGCTCTGTTGGCTATCTGTTAACTGTATCGTCTATGGTATGAACAAGTTTAATGAAAGTAAATCAATCTAATTCTTTACTAATTCATGATTCAATATTTGAAAATCAAGAAATAAACAGAGGTAATGAAATTATACAATTTACATATACAACTACACCATGAGAGCTACGTGCAACAAATAGCGTTTTCGATGACTTTAGAAATAATGAGAATTCATAAACATATCAAATTTACAAGCCCAATTACACCACAAAAGCCAATAGAGTTATGGATACCTTAAGAACCTTTCAACTAGAAACCTGCCACTACCTCCGTCCTCAGGAAAAGGTCAGCGAACCTACCTCTTCCAGGTATAGTAGAGGTCAGGTCCGCCGTCCACGCGACACCTGAGGGTCACGGTGCTGCCTGGCTTGACGGAATCCAGCTCACGGTGGTCAGCCAACACCACCCGGGAGGACTCGGCGACCCCTGCAAGGTCACGGCTGTCAGTTCCCAGGTCAGATGAGGTGATTGGGTGTGCTTCTCTTTGAGTAAAGCGATTTCCCAAGAGCTGTTGTATATTATACTAAATATTACAACATATGCTTAACTCGTTGCTCTACTGCTACAGGATCAGCCACAAAGAATGAAAAAAAATACATCTGCAGTGTAGTTGGTGGTCTTTCCAACCGTGTTTATCTAGTGCTTCGCTAAATAAACATAGCTTAAAAGCCACGTTACTGCAACCAACTGCTATTTAACATTTGATCATAGTCTTTACCGGGGGATAAATGTGACGGCAGATTAGCAGCGACCACGAGCAACGAGCGTAATTAAAAAAACAAGAAAATATACATTAAAAAAACATATAAAAAGATTAAAAAAAAAAAAAAAAACATGGCTCGCGTTGCAGTGTTTAAAAAATTAACCTCTTTGATCTCGCCATTCTATCTGTCCCGATGGCAATCAGCTGGCGAGAATTATGAATCATAATTTCGAAAAACAACACATCAGTTTTGGGCGTTTTATTCGCGGAAGAGTGATGCATCGGTTGCGAGCTTCATCCCCGTGCGTTAAGCGTCGCTCACTTCCGTTGCAGCTGATCCGTGACGTCATACCCAACGTCATTTATGCGCATTCGGATCCATACGGACACGCAAATCGATACGTCAGATCTTTTTTTTTTTTTTTTTTTTTTTTGACAGCCGGATTCTCGAGATTCTTCTAAGAACGTAGGCCTGTCCAAGCCACTTATATTTAATGATATTTGACGCTGACATTCGGTGTTGTGTATAATGATCCCACGCCAGATGCTCTGACAAATTGCATCCACGAAAACTTGTGCATGAATTTTTCAGAAGCGACGCGACGCGCTGTAATTCATGGTCCTGCTCGCGGATGAGTTTCTCGGAATTGCAACAAACTCGGAAATTGCAACAAACTTTAATCAAATTGCGTTATTAAGAGTTTTGCAAGATGAATTAATATCCGTGCAACATGCTACTGGTATACAGCTCTTACCTTGTTAGGACAGGTTATTAAAATGAAAGTTTTTGCAATATGGAAATTACAGTATGATGATTAGAGTGCAAGTAATGACTCTCCCTTTGCGAGCGAGGAACACGCACAGGTTGACAGCATGACAAAATACGCGCATTTAACTAACACAAATACGGCTGCATTTACCGGCCTGATGTATGATGATGCATCCAATAAATTCTTGTCAGCGTTTTTTTTTTATTATTATTCTATTAAAGCAGAACGATAAACAAAAGGCGTCGATGGTCCATTAGTGTCAGCACGCGGAAACGGCGCTGACATCTCTCCTTGTATAGGACACGACATTCCGAGCCCAAAAATAGCGAGAAACCGATTGATTTATATCCACAACGATGTATTTTCTCGAGACGAAGCTGTTACTACAGTTTACTCTAAGACTGCCACGGACTCACAGAAATACAGATGGTACCAAGCACGACATTCCGAGCCCAAAAATAGCGAGAAACCGATTGATTTATATCCACAACGATGTATTTTCTCGAGACGAAGCCGTTACTACAGTTACTCTGAGACTGCCACGGACTCACAAAAAATACAGATGGTACCAAGCACGACATTCCGAGCCCAAAATAGCAAAATAGCGAGAAACCGATTGACTTATATCCACAACGATGTATTTTCTCGAGACGAAGCTGTTACTACAGTTTACTCTAAGACTGCCACGGACTCACAAAAATACAGATGGTACCAAGCACGACATTCCGAGCCCAAAATAGCAAAATAGCGAGAAACCGATTGATTTATATCCACAACGATGTATTTCCTCGAGACGTAGCTGTTACTACAGCTTACTCCGAGACTGCCACGGACTCACGAAGACACAAAGATACCAAACTGCACGAAAACCAGTGTAGAACGTTTCCAAATTCTCTGCAGGATCAAGCTTTTGCAAACGAATGCAGGTTTCTGTGATGTTCTATATTCTCTTTGAGTGAAACAATATTTTATGGATGCAGAGGAAAAGCTGGACAAACAGTACTTACGTATACAGTACATTCTTTCTTACTTGTACATTATATTCTTTAGTACTTACAATATATTTTTTTTCAGTATGAAGATGAAGGGAACGGACTTAAAGATATTTGCATAAATGTTATTAATAACAAAATCAGAGTACTGACAGCTGTAATAGAAATAACTGGATATGATGAAAGCTGAAAAAAAATTAAATAAGAAAGTTGTTGATGTTTTATATTCTCTTTGTAAAAAAAGGAAAGCGGAATAAAGTCTATTAATCTATACAGTACATTTTTCTTATCAGTGATGAAGATGGTGATAGAGGAATAAAAATATATATAAATCTTATTCCTTATACGATAGGAATGATTAAAATAATTCCCGAAGTAAATGAAAGTAGAGAAAAAAAAATGAAATAAGAAACTTGATGATGAAAGGAAGCTTAAAGAGAGAAGAAGAAAACTTATGATCCTTTTCCACGTCGGCGGGGTTGCCTGTTTACATTAATTAATAAAGCTTTCCTTTTGAAGAGCCGAAGTGTGGCCTTTTGCCTCGCTCCTCCCTCTCCCTCTCTCCGTTTTTCTCTCTTTCCTCTCTTCATTCCCCCTCTCCCTCGTTTCATCCTTTCCCTTTCTTTTCTCTCTTTGTCTTCTCTTCTCCTTTAATTCTCCTCCTCTTCTCCTCTTTCCCTCTTTCCATCCTCTCATTCATTTCTCCTGTCGCTTTTCCTCCTCTTCCCCCTTCTACCCTTCCCTTCTTCCTCTTCCCTTCTTCCTTCTCGTCTTCCCTCCCCTCTAATTCTCTCCCTCTTCCCTGTCCTCTCCTCTTATCTTATCCTCTTTCCTCCTCTCCCCTCATTCTAATCTCCCTCTTTTCCTTCAGCCTCTTCCCTTTCATCTTCTTTTCCTCCCTTCTTCCTGTCCTTTTCTCCAACTGTTTCAATTCCTCTGTATTCACTCGTCTCCTCTCATCCTCTCGCCTTCTTTCTATCCCCCTCTTCCATCTCCGCCTTTTCCCCTTTTCCCTCTTCTCTTCTCTCCTCTTTCCTCTCGCCTTTTCTCATCGCATTTCTCTCACTCTCGCCTCTCTCTCTCTCTTCCTCTTCCCTTCCGTCCTTCCGTTTCTCATCCCCACTTGCCCCTTCTCTCCCCTCCCCCTCCTCCCTTTCCCCCTTTCCACTCCCTCCCTCCCGCCCTCCCCTCCTCTCCACTCTCCCTCCTTTTTGTCATGTTTATCTCATTTCCGATGCCGTCTCAAGATACATTTTTTCCCTTTTTCTTCTTTTTCCCCTTTCTTTAACCATTAAATTACTATTTTTTCCCTTTCCGAACCTCCGGGCTCAATTTACGCTCTGCGGATAAAATTACGTTTATAAAAGATCAAGTGGAATTTGGGGAAACCGGCTGTATATGGAATGATTAAGTCCCCCCAAAAAAAAAAGAAAAATGGAGAAAGAAAGAAAATGGATAGCCTGTATCCCCCTCCTTCTTAAATATTTTGAAAAGAAGAGAAAACAAAAGAAAAGGAAAGAAAGGAAATACTATTACGTTTCTTACAGATCAAGGGAAATCCAGCCATATAAAGAATAATTAAGCACCCACGAAGAAAAAGAATATATCCTGTATCCCCTTCCCTCTTAAACAATATAAAAAAAGAAGAGGAAAATTAAAGGAAACTAAAGAAAGAGGGAAAGAGCGACTCACTTTGATGAAACATGTTGCTTATAGAACTCGAAAAGATCAAAGTCGCTTGAGGGGGAGGAGGGGGAGGGGAGGGGACGGAGGAGGGGGGGGGGGGCGGCGTCCCTCCATCCAATACCAATACATCAAAAAGGAAGGATAATTGACCGTCTGCATGAATATCCACTTTTTTTTTTGTATCGAAGTTTTTTTTCGAAAGTTTTTTTTTTCGTGTTTATTGAAAAGAAGTCTTGCTGAAATCCTGATTGTTTATGTTTTTTTTGTTGTTTTTTTGTTTACGTTTTAGAATGTTTCGTTTCGTGGTTCGTCGAAGTGATGTTTAAAGTGAATTAAAAAATAAATAAATAAGGAAGAGATATTTGGATCGTAATAAGGAATACGAAATGATGAATATGGAATAGGAATAACGATGATAACTGCTCCGAACAGAGAAGTTTTGTATGAAGTTATCTGAGTTACTAAATGACGAATGACAAGAAAAACGAAAAATATAATCCGATTAAAAAGAAAAAGAATTTTAAGTCCGTAATCCCCAAAATATCTTAATCTTACAAAACCTTCGAGCAATTAAGCTTATTATCATTCAACAGATTTTGAAACGAACGAAACTTTTAGAAAAAAAATAAAAACGGTTACTTTAACGGTTATCCAAAATACATTCGTAAACAATAACGAATTTAGGACAATTTTTTTTATTATTTACTAATGGATATGCGATTTAAGAATGATAAATAAAAACTGATGAAAAAAAATGATAAATAGAATGATAAACTGAAATAATGACATAACAATAGATAATAAAAGATAAATAAAACTAATAAATAATGAATGAAATTATAAAACAAATGAAAAATTATAAAAAATAATATTTCAATCAATATAGCTTACGCATTATGGGTTGTTCTACCAATAAAAAAAACGATAAATAAAAATAATAGATTACAAATAATAATTCGAAATTGATATCCGTTACGAGCTTCAAATTCCATCAGCTTTATGGAGCTTAGAAATCGGGCGCAGAGCAGATTTTCCGATTCCAGTCTTAAACTAATAATAATGATAATAAAGAAATATATAGAAAGCTGAAAAAAGGGGAGATGATGTGGGGGGGGGGAGAAGAGAGAGAGAGAAGAGAGAGAGAGAGAGAGAGAGAGAGAGAGAGAGAGAGAGAGAGAGAGAGAGAGAGAGAGAGAAGAGAGAGAGAGAGAGGAGAGGAGAGAGAGAGAGAGAGAGAGAGAGAGAGAGAGAGAGAGAGAGAGAGAAGAGAGAG